GAATAAATAAATAAATACATACATAAATAAATAAATAAATAAACAAACAAACAAATAAAGATAGACAATACAATATTTCTCTCAACCAGCTGCAGACATCACAGTTCCTTTTGTACTTATCTAATCACACGAGGACATATGTACATACACAAGCAGAACACACACGCCACTAACAACTGAACATTTCAAAGAGTCTAATGTACAAAAAGCACGTACAGATCTTCCCTGTTAAATATGACATAGAATCTAATGGGAAGACTTATTTATAAGCGAATGGCCTGTTCTTTAAAAAAAATTAATTTCCATCTTCCAATACTGATCAATGCCTCTCTCGTAATGAATCAAAGTCACATAACAAAATGATCACTCATAACTTTTGTGTGACTCCTAGACTGAACGCTGCTATGGCAACCGTCCTTTGCTGATACAAAAACGTCACTGCGAGGCATGCACACCATGATACGTTCCCAGATAAAGATCAAAATACCACTCGTGTTACCGTCAAGTGCTCAGGTTACTTCAAGTCTGTGCTTATAACAAAAATTTTAGTGATATAATTATCTTAACCTGTCCCTTCTCTGTCTAATGCTTAATTCTAAACATACTGACATTGATATTTGTTTCCGACAATTGTCTCAAACAAAACGTACTGAAAACGCATTACATTGTACTATGAAAGAAATGGTAGTATTCAGAACCACGAATAAGAAAATACAATGCAATAATTTTTCAGTACGTTATCCATCTGGGTTTTTAGGACAATAAAAAAGGAAGTCTTCTCTTGCCTTTATAAACATCAACAGTTTAATAATCATAATTTAAAGCACGCATTCATCAATACTGGAGGGTATTCTACAGTCAGACGCCATGGAATTAAAGTCGTTTGATGGGCAGGATTCTCTCCCTTGGTGCCTCCGCAGCTTCCGGGGCGGGGGCCTCGATGGAGAGGACGCCATCTGCCGCCAGGATGGAGTTCAATGTCAAGGGGTCAATCTTGTGGGGCAGGATGTACTGTCGGCTGAACTCTCTGTACACCTGGAGAAGAGAAGATAAAATTATAAATAAAAACAGGTGGTTCGCAGGTGTACGAGTTTCCCGCTCTGAAGTTTGATGCACTGTGGGTTGATTTTTTCCGTAGGTGTAGTTTAACACGCTGAAAGAGAAGAGAGAGGTATGGATAGACGGAGAGAAAGAAGGAGAGAGAGAGAGACAGAGAGAGAGACACAGAGAGAGAGAGAGGGAGGGAGATAGTGAATCCTCGAGAGAGAGAGAGAGAGAGAGAGAGAGAGAGAGAG